AACTTCACGGCGAAACGATGAAAAATTACTTGATGTCCACCCTAAAGAAAAACGGCTACCCACGAAATTTTGCCAGAAGATGCCTATTCCGTGCATCATCAACTACAAAGTCATTCACAGAAATCAATAAATGCATCATCCTACCATACATAATGAAGAAATCAGAAATCACAAGAATATTACTGAAACCACTTAGAAGTGGTGTGGCTCATAAACCAACAAATTCCCTCCAAACACTATTATGGAAACCAAAGGATGCAACTAGCAAAGAAGACAAACCGAATAGCATTCACAAAATCAACTGCAATAAATGTAGTCAACACTATATTATACAAAGTGGAAGACCTCTTCCCCTTCATTTACATCAGCACCGATTGGCTATTCAGCGTCATGACGTTTCATCGCTGCTCATTTCAATGCACGTGGATAACAACTATGGACATGAATTGAATTTCGACAGTGTAGAAATTTTGGACGGAGAGAGGGAACACAAAGAATATGAGAGAATTCCTAGAAGCTTAGCGTTCCGGTCAGTCAGTCAGCAATCAATAGATGTATAGACATAGACCCAATTTGTCAACCAATAAGAAAAACGACAAACGACAGAAAGGTCAGAGGTCAAGCAGAGGAACAGCCAACAGGAAAGTCTATACATTCAATGACACAACAGTCGAAGGAAACATTGAATCACACACCGGTTTGTCAGGGCAAGCTGTTGAATTACTCACGGAGAGATAATGACAGGTCACTTCATACTGAAGTTAGTGCTGATGATATCGTCTAGCAAGACGATGAAAGCTTCACGACTAAACAACCCAGGCCAGAGAACACTACAACCAAGACTATTAGAGACTGATCAATTCAAATCCAGGCAACGACAGGAAATTATAAGTAATAACCTATTGTTTATGCATATGTACAGTTACATCAATTGATAGTATCATTTATAACTAATATCATACGGATGCTTTGATTACATACTTCACTATATATAGTAAGGAATAAAACAATCTAATATACACCACTACTAGCTGATATTTATATGTCATGTACCGAAAATCTGGCTGGTGATCTCATCGCTAAAGTTCCTCTTTACAAGAGATATGTTGATGTCATCATAGTGATTGGTGAGAGGCATGAGGATATGGCTTGTATACTAAATAGATATAATGCCGAACACACACATCAGCCTGACTTGTGTGAAAGAGAATAATAATCAACTGCCATTCCTAGATATACTTCTGAGTCGACGAGAAGATGGCTCAATAAGACGGTCAGTTTACAGAAAGCCTACATGGATAGGACAATACCTGAATTTCCACAGTTTTGTCCAATCTAATACAAGCGAGGTCTCATAAAATACCTATTGAATAGGATTTATCGTATCAGTACACCAGATGCGATGGATAAAGATGTCAAATTACTGAGCAAAGCACTTATGGAAAGTGGATATCCCTTTAAGTGTATAAAGCGTTGTAGAGGTCAAGTAGCACCAAAGCCAACTCTATACACGGTCCTTAAGAAAAATCTCCATATCACTCTAACACACAGAGGGGAGTTGAATAGTATCATTTTGAGATATAGGCCGACATCAGTCATTAAGAAAACATATTACACGGCGAATCTTATCACTGGAAAAAAACAAAACGCATGCTTCAGCAAAAACCTAAACACTGCATCAATGAATACGTCATATACCACTGTTTTTACCAATTTACATGTGTGTGTGGTCACACATACATAGGGAGGAGTAATCGAGTCATGCAGTTGAGGGTAGGAGAACATGTGCCTAAATGGCTTCAAAAACAAATGGAGTGTGAAGCAGCGATAAACGCTGGTAGAAGACTACCCTCTTCATTTATAGCTAAACATATCATAGAAACAGGTGACAAAGTTAGAGTTCAAATGGACTTCAAAGTTTTATATAGAAATAGTCAGGGACGTATTCCGAGATTTGCGAGATTCGCCATACACAAATTTAAACCACTTTTACGCGAACAAAAACAGTTTGTTCTTACACTACACCTACCTTGGTAAACTTTGTTGTCTTACCAAGATTAGGACCAACTATGCCACTTCCTGTTTGTACTCATCTTGCTTAATTTTAATTCCCTATTGTGTTGATTGTTGTATTTATTCCCGGTTTGTCCTCTGTTTCATATATATTGACTTGACAAGTAAATGTGTGATCAGATTTTTCGAAATGTATTGCGCAAAATGGATCACGACGAAAAGCCATATGGATTATTTTCTCTGAGTGAGTAAGTAAGTTTAAGAAAGAAGTGAAATTCACGAAATCTACTTGCATACTTTATGGTAATTATGGATAGTAGGTAGCAGTAGAATCTTAGATGTACCTGCCTCCCAGTGAGCGATGTTGTTCTCACTAGGAATCGAATTCAAGACTGATGGATTCAAACACCGAAGCAAAACGACGGGCAATATCGAAGCATCTGCACATGAGCCTATATGCCAATACATACTGATCAATTCTGTCCAAAAAACGATAGGATCACTCAAGCAATGACATAAAAATCTACTCTCATAGTTTGCATTCTTCAGACATGATACAAATCGGTAATTAACAAGTTTTTCAGAATCTGCTGTCATATTTGATGGTTTCTGCATTGAAGCCTTAATGAATTCAATCTCCCATCAATCAGCACTGAACATAAACAACAAAAAAATCTTCACAATAAATAAAGTATTCCGATTATCTACAACTCTAAGTACAATCTCAGCATTTTCCACTTGATGGTGAGAATTTTTTTTGACATTTCTGACAGCTGAGAAGTTTTTCAACTGCTCAACTCTGAAGTCAACGAGGTTTCCTTTGAAAACAGTTGAGTCATCCTGTGTTCAGATTCACCTGATCTGGTTAGTAAAATATACAGATCAGTGTAATTGGTTTCTAACTACTCATTTTGCTCAGTAGTATATTATTATTTGCCCCTTGGATTCCTAGTGGAAAATAGGAAGGACGTCAGTATCACGTCGAAAGTTCACTCTCTTCTCTCCAGTCGTTTTAATCTCCCTCCATGACTGCCCATAACCTTTGATTTCTTACTCACACCATGTCACCCTCGCCTCGGATGCCCAACTCATCATTTCCCATTTAGGTTCCACCCGACGACCTCGCCTGACCTGGCACGTGATGTTCTCAAATCCCAGTCCATCTCCATCTCCTTCTTCTGCATATTTGTTGGGCGATGGGTTCTTGGTTGGTTGGTTTGTTGCCAGCCAGCCAAAGTTTCTTGCTGCTTATTTTTTCTGGCTATCTGATATGATCTTGAGTATCGAGTGAGCGTAGGCGGTAGATGTTCATGTACGTATACAGTTTGTTGGAAATGCTTTTCGTAACGTGTCAAGTCTCTCAACCATCACATAGAAGCACTGACTGACTTGACTGAATTAGTGTTAGAAATCCGGATCTTCTTCACGCTTTATGCTGAGTGCAGTGCAGTTCAGTAGATCTCCAAACTGATTATTTTAGATTAATGAAGGAAGGCGTGTCTTGCTGTCTTTCCGATCCTGGCTGCTTTGACATCCTCATCTGTGCCTGTGCCGCCTGTAGTTGAAACGATGCTGCCTAGGTAGGTAGGTGAAAGAGACTACTTTGTTTATATCTCCCCCGTTCTTGGGTATTGGTCAGTTATTTTTATCACCTCTGTCTTCCTTACGTTTGCATGAAGGAAGTTTCGTCTTCGCTGCCTGTTCTGTCAAATTGTTGGTTTATACCTGTGTATCTTGAAGTTTGTGCGATACTAGACACAAAACATCGACGAAATCCAAATCTTCTAGGATCTTTTCATCGATCCAGCGTAATTATAACTCATAACTATAATAAATTTATATCAGAATGAAAGTGAACGTAAGTTTTGAAAGTAGGTTGAGTATATATTTAACAATGAGTTGAAAATAGGAGCATAGATAAGTCAGAAACCCCAATTGAATTGAAATTCACTCAACAACCACGTGTATATCTGTCCAGTAGGTAGTGTACTGCATCTTTCGTCTAATGGCTAATGAAGCTACCAAGCTACTCAAATCCACTAACTGAAAGTCAACTCAACCACAGTTACTATAACCTAATTTCAATATTTCCAAGTAGATACAAAGTAGTTTTTAGTACTTAGTGATAACTAACACTGAAATATAAGGTGTGCACATCATCCTATTTAAGAATCATTCTATTGTAATCATAAGTATTCATCAGGATGCAAGTTCTAGCAGATACGATGACAGATTCGTCGTTTCTCTCCCTTCCCTGGCCACTACTAAGTGTAATGAACATTTTAATCATGTTAAACATTGAGGCATGTGTACAAGCAGTTTGAGTATCAAAAGATGTGGATCTGTTGTATCAATGTGAATCTATAATACTACAGAGGAAAGTCTTTTCCACCCATTCCCCCTCAAAACAAACTGTCAAAGTATCTAATTCTTACGGTATGAATTATAACAATAAAGGTTAAACTTTGTTTATAGTATGAAAAAATTGATATTTTGTAAAGATATAGGGATTTCTAGAAGAAAAATTGCGGGAAAAGTCATATTGTAGAAGCAACATAGATGAGAACTAGTGGAAAGTGTACTCAGTTGTAGTAAACTATTACCACATTACTGGTCTTCTCTTCACTCAACAATTTAAATAAGTTGATTTTTAGTTCTGATTGCTTTTCGTTTGTTTTCTGTATCTCCTTTTCATGCTTTTGATTTCCTTCTAAAGGACGTCTACCGATTAGATGATAATAATATAACACTAATGACTTTTTCCAAGGGTATTATGGTATAAACTACTTACATATCTGCAAATAAGTAGCATATACCATATTGCCACTAAAAGAATGAGTAGTCTGTGTCTTTTTGTCATACATCATAAACATATAGACAAAAAATTGCTTATTCATGCTGTCAATAATGAAAAAATTACATGTAATTACATATGTAATATTGTCATACTGGATCATATAGTAAAAAGTGAGACAAAATTGACTTACATTACTTTCAACCCATGTTCGTATATTTTTTGGACTAGGTGAATGCAATCCATTAGTCATTATTGGTTGTATGGTATTTGTTTGATTGTTTGTAGACACTAAAGGCTTGGATTGATTGTCTAAACTGAGTCGAAGATATTTCTCCATAATATCACAGTCTGCATTATGACCATTTTGATGTATATTTGAAAGTGATAACCCAATTGTTTGTGTTTTTCCTTCAGTGGATGATCTTTTCACTTCGACAGTATCATTTCTCGGTGAACACTTTCCATTGAGTATATCAATGGCTAGAAGTTAAAAACACACAAAAAAAAGAGGAGAAACAGAAATTCTTCTTAACCTATTTGATAACGAAGGTTAGGTGAAGTTCTTGATTCATTTCGGGATACAATCAATTTAATTATTGAATAGATTAGGATATTAGAAAGTAAAGTGTCGAGATGAATTCAGTGAACAATGTTGAACACCTTTCAATAAGGTTACAGTTAATATAGTCGAATTTCACTACAAAGTCGAGATACGGTTTCAAAACTAAGTTATTAGAAATAACAAGAACACAAAGAAAGGAAAAGTGAACAATGAAGGACAAGCAAATTGTTTTGTCAGTGACATCAGTTTTCCAAACCATGGCTAACGTCAGAAACTGCTGCCTTCGAATATCCTATAAAAACTAACGCCACACAACTTTCATAACTATATATCAGATTGAGTTGAGGAGTTTATCACATATTCACTCACTCACTCACTCACTCACTCACTCACTCACTCACTCACTCACTCACTCACTCTGCAAGTCATTTGTTCACTCACTTACTCACTCAATCACTCACTGAATCACTATGTAACTCACTCACTCACTCTGCAAGTCACTCGTTCACTCACTTACTCACTCACTCATCTTTTGATTGCTGATCTCATTGAGGTTAGACCAATTACTCCCAATTAATATTTACATTTGATCGCTTCATCTCATACTCATGATCATAATTGTCTGTTTATTTCACCTGTTTACACCATTTCTTCTCCATTACTTTTTAGCAAGGGTTATTCGGCTTATTACGATGACAACAAAATCATCAGTTTACCATCTTGAAACAACAAATCATTTCACAGAAGATGAGTGTTATTTATTCGTCTAAGGAAAATATAATAGCTGTAATTTATTATATTATTTTTCCCTTGGGTTCCTTGTAGAACATAGGGCTTCAGTAGCACGCCCCTATTGCACTCTGTCCTCTGCAGTCTTTTGAACCTCACTCCATGACTGTGCACAAGCTTTCATTTCTTACTCACATGATCTCCTCCATGTCACCCTCAGCTTGGACACCAAACTCGTCGTTTCCCATCTGGGTTCCACTCAAGCGACTGGCCTGGAGCTTGATGTCCTCAATCGACCTTCTCAGCGTATGCCTAATCCATCTTCATTTTCTTCCTCGGCATATTTGTTGGGTGATTCGTTGGTTGGTTCGTTGTCAGCCAGCCACAGTTCCTTGTTGTTTATTCTCATTATTCTGGTCATCTGAGCTTCTGTAACGAGCCAGAGTAGATGGCAGTTGTTGATGAATATCTGTAGTTTGTTGGAAATCCCTTTCGTAACGCGCCAAGTCTCTCAACCATACAGAAACACTGACTTGACTGACTTAGTGTAGAAAATCCGGATGTTGTTCACACTTTATGCTGAATGCAGTAGATCTGCACACTGGTTTCAAATTAATGAAAGCCTGTCTTGCTTTTCCGATCCTGACCTTGACATTTTTGTCTGTGCCTGTGCCGCCTGCTTCCTAGATAAGTGGAAGAGACTACTTCCTTTAGGTTACTCCGGTTGATGGTGATTGGTGCTTGTTGTTCATGCTGTTATTCGTTGGGTATCGAACTTTTCTTACATATACATAATAAGTGAGAAACCATTAGTTTCACTGGTATAGTGTAAAGATACCTGGATGATAAATTAAAGATAAATATTTTTGTAAGTTGAAGTTTATGGGGTGGTATTCAATAAGGACTGACATTAGGTGGAGAACTACTAAAGGAAATTTGAGCACTGAACAGCTGTTAGGTGCGTTAGTTAGATCTCTGGTGAGGTCAAGGGTGTGTACTGCTGAGAAGTCGCATACGGCTATCCAGTGCCAACAGACATTCATCAACAACTGCCACCTACTCTGGCTCGCTACTGAAGATCAGATGGATTGCCAGAAAGAATAAGCAACAAGGAGCTCTGGTAACGAACCAACCAACGAAGAACCTATCACGCAACAAATATGCAGGAGGAAGTGGAGATGGATTGGGCATGCACTGAGAAGGCCGACTGGGGACATCACGCGTCAGGCCAGTTGCTCGAGTGGAATCCCTATGGGAAGCTACGAGTTGGGCGTCCGAGGGTGACATGGAGGAGGTCGTGCGAGGAGTAAATGAGAGCTTGTGGGATGTCGTGGAACCAGGTTCAAAAGATCTCAGAGAAGAGAGTGCACTGGAGACGTGCTACAGAAGCCCTATGTTCCACTAGGAACCCAAGGGACTAACAATAATAATTATATATATATATATATATACAATAATGTTGTATTCATCGCGGTCGGACCATCAATTGAGGAATCAGTGAAAACTTGGGAGGACTAGACAAAAACATTTTGTCTTAGTATGGGACTCCTCAGAAGTACGCATCCATGACTCAACTAACAGTCAAACTCAGCACTTCAAGTTTCACGGTAGATACATTAACTATTCAGCCACTGGGTTGGATTTCAATCGTTTACAGTTTTCTACTTCTGTCGATTCCCCGTGAAACTAGAGGATCTCAAGTTTGATCCCTAGCTAAGTTGTGGATGCGCATCTGCTGAGAAGTCTTATACTAGGAGGGAACAGCTGTCCAGCTCTCCCAGGTTTTTAATGGTTCTCTCCAAGTGAGCTCAGTTCATGGTGACTATTACCTTAAAAATAAACTCCTCATTGTCGTGAAAAAAATACATATATTTAGTTATTTATATTAGAGTAAAGCCTGAAGAAGATGAAATTGAAAACAAAGTAGCAATTACTCATTCATCCAGTGTTTACATTCACAGACCATGTCTTACAGTTATTAAATCGTCCAGAATACTCTGCTGCAGTCTGCCAGATACTAAATACAATATACTCACATAGTTCTTATTCATTCTATAATCATTGTAAAGTTGATAACATTACTAAATACGTACTTAGACTTGAACAGTTTAACTGACGTAAAACAATTCACTGACTATGATTTAATTGTAATTTGACTATCTGAGATAGCCGTAATATTTATACTGGGTGATGATTGGAGATGAAATGAGAATTTTCACCGCGGTTGGATTCGAACCGGCGACCACCGGTTTCCGGCCCGATACTCTACCAACTGAATTATGAGATCCAACTGCTGATCACATTTTTATTGCACTTCAATCATAAGGTGAGGTTTTGCAAGACTACTATGTGAATTCGTGACATATTGCTACTGTATGATCGTATTCACACTGGATGCCTAGTCAGGACTTCTCATCTCAATCCGAATCTAACTGAATTAGAGAGGAGGGGGAGGATCTGAGATGGCCGTAGTTTGGCAGACTACTGTCTAGACTGGTGACCTTGTAGCTCAGTTGGTAGTCCCTCGGGCCGGAAACCTGGTGTTCGCTGGTTCAAATCAAGCTGCGATCAAAATTTTCATCCCACCTTCAATCATCACTCAGTATAAATGATTTAATTACTTTGATCCAGTCTGTCTGTCTTACTAACTAATTCGTACTGATCTCATGCCAACAGACTATTAAGGACCATATTTAATTAATAATTGATTTTCCATGTGTTAACATCAAAGTGAACCCAGTTAAACAGTTTCGGTTAGCGAAGTAACTCGGGTACATTTTCTACAACCACAGAGCTTGATTATAAATAGGTGGAAAGAACTGATTACTGGCATGATGTTACTTTGGCCTATAAACATAACATTTTGTCTCCTTTGTTGCAAGGTTAGTAGCAACGACTTCGATGAAATATCATCATTTGAATGAAATAAACTTGATTTGAATATACTGATAAAACCTATTGTTATTCGATAGACTATCTAAGATAGCAGTGGTTTGGCAGACTGATGTTACTGATACTCGTTGATGATTGAGGGTGAAATGAAAGCTTGGTTGCGGACAGAATTTGAGTGAGCGGTTACGGTGTTTACAAGTCAGTTCTCTACCAACTGAGCGATATCAAAGTAGGCAGAGAAGCGTGGGAAGAAACACTCTGAGGATAATGGTAATTTTGAATATTCAAGCCTCAGAAGACGTCTGTGCTATTATCACCGATTTTTAACCATATCACTAAGAGTTCTCAACAACTCCTTCCTATTGTCTCCGGGTTCCCAACCAGCTAGTTTACATTTCTCTTTGCTCCTCAATTCAACAGTAAGAGACTCCATTGACTGATGCGAAGTCTTGGTCTAGCCAACCTACACCATCTTCCAAACTAATCTAACTCACTCCCAGCATGGCATGTCAAGGTAGGCGGTGGCTGGGGATGTGCAACACATGTTAGAGTCATCTCAGTCGACTAAGGTCCACAAGTACATCAATCGACTTGCCTATACTGTCTAGTACCTTTTGCTTGACCTCAACATTCCTCACATTGTGATTCCACCGAACTCGAACAATACCATGAAGTCACTGGTGATCAGTACCCTGTGACCGCCTCATATGTTCTGCTTTCAACAGCCATAGCTCACAGTCGTGAAAAAGGATAGAACAGACTGCAGTGCACTGTTCTTGTTCTCTGATTGATAAATAGTCAGATATTTCTTCTGTTGGCGCCACGAATGACGTATTATGGCAAACGCCAAGCGAAGCTTCCGTATAGGAGGTGACATTTTGTCAGCAGCCATCTTATTCGCTCTTATGTAACTCCCCCAATGAGAGGACTGGCCAGCGCTTTCAACTATTTCACTTCTTATCCTTAAACTGTGAGTAATTCCAGAATAGTCCTGAAGTATCATCTTAAATTCAGTAGGTGCAAGATGCATGCCAAACATACTCAGATTTCTCCTCAAGGAATTCAGAAGACCATTTATTTTATCGGCGCCTTCATTTGGGAGAACAACATCGTCTGCATATTCCATGTCAACCAAGTGCCCTTCATGAAGTAGATCGATCTAAACGAAATCGCCTTATTGTTATTATATCGTTTATTTGTCCCTTGGGTTCGTAATGGAACACAGGGCTTCAGTAGCGATAGGTTCTTGCCTCGTTGGTTCGTTGCCATGTCAGAGTTCCTTGTTGTTTATTCTCATTTTTCTGGCCATCTGAGCTTCTGTAACGAGCCAGCGTAGGAAGCAGTTGTTGATGAATGTCTGTAGTTTGTTGGAAATGCCTTTCGTAACGCTCCAAGTTTCTCAACCACCATATAGAAGCACTGACTTACTTGACTAAATTGGTGTTGAAAATCCGGATGTTGTTCATGCTTTATGCTAAGTGCAGATCTCCACACTGGTTTCAGGTTTATGAACTCCTGTCTTGCTGTCTTTCCGATCCCGACTGCAATAACGTCCTCTTCTGTGCCTGTGCCATCTGTAGTTGAAACAGTGTTGCCTAGATAGGTGAAAGAGGCTACTTCCTTTAAGTTTCTCCTGTTGATGGTGATTGGAGCTTCTTGTTGTTGTTGTTGTTATTGGTTGGGTATCTTCATCACCTCTGTCTTCTCTATATTCATTTGAAGGAAGTCCGGTCTTCGCTACCTCTCCTGTCAACTTGTTAGCTTTTGCCTGTAGATCTTCGAGTTCGTGTGACATTAGACACAAGTCATCGGTGAAATCGAAATCTTCTGGGATCTTTTCCCAGTCCAGCCAGCGTATCCCCCTCTTCTCGCTCCTCACGGTTTGTTGCACGATCCAGTCGACCACAATCAGTAAGATCACCGGTGATAGTAGACAGCCTTGTCTTACTCCTGTCTTCACTTCACTTCAAAGGCATCACTGAGCTTCCCATTGTGAATTAGTTGGCATATGGCGTCTTCGTATAGTTGTTGAATGAGGTTGATAGAGGTTTGTAGTATTCTGTGGTGTTGAAGCAACTGCCAAATTACTTCTCGGTCGACGCTGTCGAAGGCCTTTTCGAAGTTGATGAAGCTAAGGTAGAGGGTTGATTGTCATTTTCTATGATGATGCGAAGCGTTACAATTTGGTCCGCACATGATTTGTACTTCCAGAAGCCAGTCTGTTCTGGTCGTAGTTTTGAATCCAGCGAATCCTTTAGTCTCTCTAGGACGACCGATCTAAGTGAAATCGCCTTGCTGTCATTTAAATCCATTATGCATTTCCATTTCTTCGTTATAATCATTCTGGTTACTCAGCTGATGATTCAACTAACCTCGATCGGCTAGTTTCACCCATATATTTGACATCATATACCACTACCAAGTGACCTGTGTCTCAGAACTCCGATGGGACCGACAGTCGAAAACTTCATGATATTGTGCCACTTCTGAGTTTGACAGCTACTAGTTTTTTCCTTGTGTGATGACGGCGGGTAGATTAGCGCATTTTACACATGCATAATTCACTTTACTATATCATCAACATCAAGATCAAGATAGGACCAGGGATTACCGCGTAATTCTTCAAGCTGCCATACTTCATACTAGCAAATCGAGTAATATGGTAATAAAATGGAAGATGAAGGTGTAGAGAAAAATCGGTCGGAGGAAGTAGAAGCAGAAAGTAGTAAAATAGAGAAAGGGAGAATGAGGTGATGAGATGACGAAGTATAGCGGTTAATATGAGGATAATTTGTGTATACATCTGCCCCGATGACATCGGTTCTGGGTCATATCACCTAGAGTCAATCTCCAACCACTGGTTTCTCTTGTCCCGCGGATCACAACCAATCAGTCTGCATCGCCCCACATGGCTCAAACCAAACCAGCCATCTCGGTTGATGAAGGTTCACAACCACACCAACTAACTTACCTCTTCTACCTCCCTAAAACTCTACACCTACACCTGACTTCTGTGTTACTCACGTGCTGACACCACGGAATACGGCCTATACTTTACCACGAAGGCAACGGTGGTCAAACAACACCTGAAGCCTTCTCATGTCTTCCACCTTCAATGGCCGTGTTTCACAGCAATACAGTAGAACAGAGCGGACTGCTGTGCAGTACACGCGACTCCTAATGGCGTAAGTTTGCAAAATCCAACTGAGCCGTTTGTATTCGTGGAGAGATTTCATCGACCACAGAGCCACCAGGGTAAGTGAAGTGTTCAACGCCCTTAATCACTTCATTCTCCACTGTTAGTCGGAGTACCACTGAAAACCAATCCTGGAGCAACAATTTGAACTTGGACGGCGCGAAACGCAGAATATACAAACGGTAATTCATTTGAAAGCTGTGAGAATAAATAAGAGGTAATCAGAGTTGTTCTAAAATCTGCAAGATAAATTTTATCACATACATTCAGTCAAACTGGCAGTTTCACCTTCTGTACGGTCAGTTCGCGGTGTTTTCAGCAGCAATGGGAAACCATCTTCAATACTTTCAGCCTTGTTATTCTTCAGCTCGTTATTGACATCCTTTTTTCCACTACTGATTTGATTTGAAATTTCGTTTTCTTCCATCTCATTGTCAGAATGTTCAACATTTATTGCTCTCATTCGCTGGTCCTTTTTGTGTGATCGAGGTGATACCTTGCAGTTGGTTGTTCCACTCTTAAGTGAAGTGCTTTGTGAGTTTCTTAAAGGTAAAGATTGAACAGACTGTGATTGAGATATTGATTCTGTGGATTGGATAAAATCTGGTCTAATATGGTTAAGGTATTCAGTGGAATAGTTAGGACAATCAGATTGGAGGTGATTGAAACCGGATACTGCAGAGGTTTTGGAAACGATATTCAACCCTTCATTAGATGATCTTTGTAAGTCTGTAAAAAACGAAACACAATTGACATGAGTGATAGTGTATGAAATCAATCCTAATTAAACTGAATAGACACGTTTCTATGTCTGGAAAATAATCGTATCTACACACTGAGATGAATGGTTCATAGGGATCATAAGCGGTAAAAGATTTTCAATTCTCATGAATCAAATAGTTCATTGACACAAAAATCTACAATCTTTTACTGAAGATCTTTAATGTCTATAAGAAGATGTAAGGCCATTTTACAACTCAAAAGTCATATAGAGATACTGCAACTTAGTCACATACATACTCAAGTATTGTGCTTGATGTTATTCAATTAGACGTTAGTAATCTCAAGTGAGTTATTCTAAAAGCTGACCACGTGAATAATGCCGAAGTCAGGCAAAAAGTTTTAGGGAGTAGAGGTAAATCAGTTGATGAAGTAATGAAATTTCATCGACTGAGATGGTTGGAACACATACTACGTATGCCTAGTCTCCGATTGCTTCGTCAAACAATGTTGGCCGAAGTAGGTGCAGGCTAGAAAAAGGCTCGAGGTGGCCAGACTAAAACATGGCATCAATGTATGAAGTCTCTGACTGCTGGTTTGAGCCATGTGGCTGGATGCAGACTACTGGGTGGTTGGGGTCAGTGGGACAAGGGGAACCAGTGTTTGGAGACTAGGTGATATGGGTGAGAACCGATATCAGTGGCGCAGGTGTTTACATACATTATCCTCATCTTAACGATACTGTACCGAATTTCAACATTTTCTCATTCTTCCTTTCCCTCTTCTCACACTTTATATTTCTTTTGACTGAATTTTCTTATCTCCATCTTTCACCTTACTACCTTTCTACTTGATGTACTGATAAGAGGTGTGGCAGCCTGGACCGTTACGCAGTAATGCATGGTCGTATGTTGGTAATGATGATGATGACGATGATGAAAAGCCGACCATCCAAGACACTAATTAAATAATCAACTAAGTTTCTTTATTTTAGCTAGAAATGTGACTTTTTTACAAATGAGAAAAACGTGACTAGTTATTTTAACGGTTACCAGGATATAACCTTGTCCCATTAGGTCAATGTCACTCCATATATTAGATTGTTTATCATGTATAGCATATAGTGAAACAGTATTCTTTACTCGAATAATGTTTCAAGTGAAATTTTTGCTTATAATCACTACCTTGATCGGATTATGAGCATCAAATTCTACTCATAACATCATTCAGTAAATAAAATATATGTCACTGTGTGTTATAACACATAAAGAAAAAAAATATGGGACCATACTCAGCCACAAGATCTGAGCTGTACTACAATATCAAGACAGTCTGACTTAGACAATAAAATTACTCATTTTAGCTAACAATATTGTATTGTATTTTTATTTATTTGTCCCATGGGTTGCTAGTGTATTATAGGGCTTCAGTAGCACCTCGCCATTTCACTTTCTTCTTTCTAGTCGTTTTAATCTCCCTCCATGACTGCCCATAACCTTTCATTTCTTACTCATACCATCTCCTCCAAATCACCCTCGTATCCGATACCCAACTTATCGTTTCCCATTTAGGTTCCACTTGACGACCTCGCCTAACCTGGCACGTGATGTTCTCAAATAGTCTTTTTCTCAGTATATACCCAATCCATTTCCACTTCCTTCTTCTGTATATCTGTTGAGCGATAGGTTCATGGTTGGTTGGTTCCTTGCCAGCCAGCCAGAGTTCCTCCTTGCCATCTGATTTGATCTCTAGTATCGAGAGAGCATAAGTCGCAGCAGTTCATGTATGTATACAGTTTATTGAAAATTCTTTTTGTAACGTGTCAAGTCTCTCAACCATCTCATATGGAAGTATTGACTTACTTGACTGACATTATTATTGAGAATCCGGATCTTCTTTATGCTGAGTGTAGTGCAATGCAATAGATATCCACAGTGATTTCAGACTAATGGATCATTCTTATGTAAAATCTTTATTTACCTTTCTTTAGATGGTGATAACAACTTTTTTTCTTTACAAATGCAATCATTGTCTTCATCAACTTGTACCAGTATAATATATTAAGTTGAACTTAATCAATGTAAAAATACAACTGATGAGTTTCAATAGAGAAACAATCACATTGTTTTGGCTTTGGCTAAATAAAAGTTGTAAAATTCAATGACAAAGGGTAGCTTAGTTAATTTTTTAGTACTGAGGTTAGAAACCGGTTGTACAAGTTCTTAGTTTTTATCATCATTATTATTATCATGTATATTACAAGTGCTTTAGTCCACGTTATCACTTTAATCATTATACTATTTGTAACAGTATTACTAGTTATCAAATTAACTGATTAACCTACATGTTCTAATTTAAATGATAAGAATTTTTAAAATTCATAATATAAGGCATAACTTTTTGTATATGTTCGATATGACAATAAATCTTTTATACTGTTTGATGATTGAAGGTGAGATGAGAATTTGAATCGTAGCTGGATTCGAACCAGCGACTACACAGTCTTTGGCGCAATGCTCTAACAACTAAGCTATGAGATCAAACTGCTGACCAGATTTTGATTTCAGTTTAATCAATAAGGATTTTTCCCTTCAATCATCACTCAGTATAACTATTAGTCTGCCAAACTACGACTATCCAAGATAGTCAAATGATAATCAACACGTTGCTCCATCTTTCTAATTCATTTAGATTTGAATTCGGATGAGAAGTCTTAACTAGACAGCCAATGTGAATACAATCAAACGGTAATATCGTGTCACCAATTCACGTGATAATAAGGAAATAAATACCCTTGATAAATGAAGTGAAATAAAAATCTGGTTAGCAGTCGGATCTCGTAGTTCAGTTGGTAGAGCATCTGGTAGGTTACCCGGTGGTCACTAGTTCGAATCCTACTGTGGTCCAAATTTTCATCTCACCTTCAATCATCACCTAATATAAATACTAGTCTGCCAAACTACGGTTATCTCGGATAGTCAAATGACCATAAACCTCTTATCATTTTCGCTGCCTATATATATATATATATATATATATATATATATATATATATATATATATATATATATATATATATATATATATATGAGTGGACTTCTTCTGAAGAAGCTATTTCCCTATAGTCGCTAAACGTCAGAAAGTGATTATCATTATTGTTTACTGAACGGATGAAGTGGAGAAAAAACAAACCATGCCTGATCAATGATATGGTCTACATAAGATATCTGAAGGTAAAATATTCGGTCCTGTCTAGTACTTAGGAAGAAAACAGCTGTCCAGTACTTTATGAGATTCAGAACCTTCAATACAGCAATGGTTTTAAGTTCCAAGAACCATTAACATTAAATCTCCTTCAAAATTAATCAATAAGTCTCGATGAACTGCTAAATGAATTACTGAATTTATTTGTTTACATAAACCCCTTAAGCACACACACACACATACGCACATTTAGTAGACAACTTAGCGAAAGACAATAAAAACTCTGATCTAATTATAATAACTCTAGTTATATTCATCGAAGACTGACATCAGTTGGAGGAACAAAGGAAACCTGGGAGCACTGGACAGCTGTTTCGCCCTAGTATGGGACTCCTCAGCAGTGCGCACTCACGACCCCCGTCCCCCAGGGATCGAACCCGCGACCTTCAGGTTCCGCGACCAGCGCGTTATCATTGAGCCACTGGGTCAGAATCCAATGCTCCATATTTCCAACTTCTGTTAGCTCACAATATAGCGCAAACCGCCACCCAATGTCATCGTTGAGTATTTGTCCTCACGACCATCAGGCTTTGACTCCACCGATGGGGTCGTGGTGCGCACTGCTGAGGAGTCCCATACTAGGGCAAAACAGCTGTCCAGCGCTCCCAGGTTTCCTTTGTTCCTCCAACTGATGTCAGTCTTCGATGAATAACAACTTGAAATATTTCCAAATCTCCACAACCCCCTCAAAATATAATAACTCTGTTGTTTTTCATTATTTAATTCGGTTGGTAATAGAATTTGCCATATATTAGAAGTTGATTGTTGCGTTTTGTTGATTACACGCAGTAGGTGTTTTGTATAATAATGAATAGAGATTCAGTGATCAACCAATCTCTTCACTTAACCAGATCAACCTTCAATATAGATACTGTGATTATGTTCCACTCTATAACATGATTATGTTATCACATTTCAGATCATTGTGTGCTATATCAAATAAACTCATCTGATAAGGATATCATCTACAGTTATTGTATGAAGGTTTATGATATTATTCAATTGTTTTTGAAGTAACTTAATAACCAAGAAACCAGTAAGTAACATCTTTACATAAAAGAAAAGAAGGATGAGTTGAGAGAAGGCAAACAGTAATTATAGGTTGTTAGATTATAGTTCTCTAAAGAATAATTTCCAACACCGTTAAACTATCAGTTGGAAAGTAGTATAATCGTTTTTATATGGTACCGTCGTTGATTTTATCGAATTGATTGGTCTCTACTAGCATATGGGCTCCTGTGTGGATGCCTCGATCGTATCATATAAAAAGCATTATACTAAAAATTATACCCGTTGCACAAGAAGTGGCTATCGTGGCTCGGTGGTGTAGTGGGTAACGCGCTGGCGTTTGAAGCGATCGCTCCCGAGTCCAAATCCCGGTGGGAACGATATCACTCACTGGGAAGTAGGTACATCTGGCTGATGAGTCTCAAATAGGACGAAATGCGCATACTGGATTCGACTGCTAGCCACGATCCATCATTAAAATATCAGTTGGAAAGCTTACAGTTGCCTAAGCAATGTATACAAGCAGATATACTCAGTAATATGACTGACGGTTTGCGGACATTGATTCGTTTTAAAGGTAGAAATCATTATGAACTGACGCCACTCAGTACCAGTGCGGTGTTTCGTCATTATAGGATACGGACATCAACAGTGCAGACTTAATCCCCTACAAGAGACTGAATCAATCAGCGTCAGATGATTTGGAGAAGGTTTTACCATCCATCTAGTAGCATCAGTGAGGATTTCTCCTCATACCCAACTTGATTCCCTCTAAAGGTGGAAATTACTATTCTCTATTTTTATTAACTCTACTTATTGTCAATTTCTGATTTTTTTTTCAAGATTAAATCAACTGGAATTATTAGACTATACTGAGCGGTTGACTAAGTAGAACCTGTGTGTTCTCGTCAGAAAAACCTTGTTTCTAAAGAAAGAATTTTTCTTTGGTAAACTGAACTTGTTAATATGAAGTTACGATCTTTATAGCATCGCTAAAATATTCATAGAAAAGGAATGTGAACATGTTTGATAACCAACCTGATAAATGATTAGATTTTGGTGTATTGATATCAGAACCATAAGTTGAATCATGCAAACTACTTGCATATGATTGATCCTTAACATCATGGATATTCTGAAGTTCTGCGTTATCATTTCTTCTATATATAAGTATTAAAAAAATATCATACAATAATGTGAACAATAATGTAACACAGTATAGTAAGTTGCGTACATAAAATGCTTGAATATATAAGAATAGCTGTTATCATTATTTGTCGCTTGGGTTCCTAGTGAAACATACGGCTTCAGTAGCACGTATTCATTGCACTCTCTTCTCTGCATCGTTTCAACCTGGCTCCACGATAACCCACAAGCTCTCATTTCTTCCTCACACAATCTCCTTCATATCACCATCGACTTGGACGCCCAACTCGTCGTTTCCCATCTGACTTCCACTTGATAGCCTGGCCTGGTACGTGATGTCCCCAAATGGTCTTCTGAGTGCATGCCCAATCTATCTACACTTCCTTCCAGTGCATATCTGTTGAGCGATAGATTCTTGGTTGGTTCGTCGCCATGCCAGCCATAGTTCCTTGTTGTTTATTCTCATTATTCTGGCCATCTGTCTGATCTTCATTAACGAGCCAGTGTAGACGGCACTTGTTGATGAATATCTGTAGTTTGCTGGGAATCCCTTTCGTAAGGCGCCAAGTCTCTCAATCATTACATAGAAGCACTGACTTGATTGACATTGTTGTTGAAAATTCGGATGTTGTTCACACTTTATGCTGAGTGCAGAAGATCTCCACACTGGTTTCAGGTTAATGAACTCCTGTCTTGCTATCTTTCTGATCCTGACTGCAATAACGTCCTCGTCTGTGCCTGTTCCGCCTGTAGTTGAAACAGTGCTGTCTAGATAGGTGGAAGAGACTACCCTCTTTAAGTTTCTCCTGTTGATGGTGATTGGAGCTTCTTGTTGTTATTGGTTGGGTATCTTCATCACCTCTGTCTTCTCTACGTTCACCTGAAGAAAGTGCCTTCTTCGCTGCCCTGCCTCTTCTGTCAACTTGTTAGATTTCGCCTGTAGATCTTCAACTATAAGAATAGTTGGGATCATAAATTGTAAATATTTAGAATTAAAATAAAGTCATACAATTATTCTTCTGGAGCCAAGATATATCAATGTAAAATGGGTAGACAAAGCGCATTATGACTTGGTTAAAGGATAAAATTGTACAAAATGATTTTTATTATCCAATGTATTCTCATGTCCACTACTTTTTGTCAAACAAGCTTGGTGAAAGAAGTTACTGTTTGTAATAAGAGTTCATTATCAGCTAGATTCATTTCAAGAATCTTATACGAAGTAGGTAGATTGAAAGAAAGGTTGACGATTCCTTCAATAGTTACTTCTTTTCACAAAATGATGAAGAGGTCTCTGTTATGAGGGATCCAGTTAAGTTACAAATGTTTGGCTCTCGAAGTAAGACACTGATTCTACAGGACTATTGGATAAGATTCATTACAACACTACTTGAACCAAGAAGGGAACAATTTAGTCACAGTACTATATCACAATAGTAAACACTGTTACCTAGGATGAGGTGCAAGTTATCTTTTGAATAAGGTAGAAAAACGTTTTATCTTTGAAAGAGGCTGTGTTCTCTCAAAATAACTAAGTATAGCTTCCCAGTAAGGGATGATTTTTAAAAAGTACTTACTCATCGGTTCAGAATGGATACAGGTAGAACTTTAATTTTCTTGAGTAAAAGAGAGATGAAACATCTAATAAACCCCAAATATTTGGCTCTTCTGGAAGCGTAATTAGAAATCTTCAAAAAAATTAGACCTTACCATTCTGAAGGGGTGGAGATTAAACACTTAAGAACTAATCGAAAAACCTATGGTAATTATTCACACCTCCCAACCTCCTTTGTGTATTCGAAAGAAACATATACAAACGCCTTCTTTAATAGAGGCTGAAAGAAATAATCTCCACCTTTGTTTATGCCCTATATTTTGTAGTTTGTTTATTTATTTATAAATAATATGTAATATAACAGTGCTTCTGTATGGCTCAGAGACTTGGCGCCTTACGAAAGGGATTTCCAACAAACTGCAAACATACATCAACAACTGCCATCTACACTGGCTCGTTACTGAATCTCAGATGGCCAGAATAATGAGAATAAACAACAAGGAACTATGGCTGGCATGGCGACGAACCAACCAAGAATCTATCGCTCAACAAATATGCACTGGAAGGAAGTGTAGATAGATTGGGCATGCACTCAGAAGACCATTTGGGGACATCACGTACCAGGCCAGGCTATCAAGTGGAAGTCAGATGGGAAACGACGAGTTGGGCGTCCAAGTCGATGATGACATGAAGGAGATTGTGCGAGGAAGAAATGAGAGCTTGTGGGCTATCGTGGAGTCAGGTTGAAAAGAATGCAGAGAAGAGAGTGTAATGAATACGTGCTACTGAAGCCGTGTGTTCCATTAGGAACCCAAGGGACAAATAATAATAATAACACTATATAATAAAGAATAACATGATTGTTTATAGGTTTAATGACTTTAGGATCATGATAAGTGCTCGCTACTACAAAGTTGATTGGTAAAACTATATTTAACATGATTTTCTTCACACAATACACAAGCTAAATAAGGTGGTATTGTTGAATTTTGTATGTGGTTGTGCGTGTATAGAGTTTAATATATTTGCTTCTTGTCCTCCCAGACGACAGATATGGAGAGAGGTGCGAATGCAGATGATGCTTGTCATCAAACAATATATTTTTAGCCAGTAGTCTACAAGAGTTCAGACGCCTATCCGCAACCACATTCATCAGTACGATTAGGAGAGTGTGCTACTTGCTCTACTAATAGCCTTCGAAATCCTACTCAGCAGGACATAGTCTTTTCTGCGGAGTCTAGGAAAGAATAAGGGAGACAATAATGTAGTATAGGCAAAAAACAGGAATTCATGAAAAGTAAGAGTGGAGCTTGCGTTATGTAAAAGTTAAAGAGGAAGATTTTCTTGAGAATCAGTAAGATACGAAGGAACCAAGGAAGAATAGAAGAAAAGCATAAGCCAAGATAGACCACGTTTACTACATTCTCTATAATAGAGCCATAGATAAAACAAGAGTCATGGAATTGAAGTAATGTGAAAATGTCTTTTTCAAGACTTAAGCCGAAATTAACCATCCGACATTTGGATGGATTGAGTGTGAGGTCATTTAAGGAAAACCAGTAACCAATTTACTTTAGGAGCTGTTAAACTGAGTACTGTCATAAGCGGGGGTGATTAGCATGGACATTGTCAGATCATCAGCCTACCTAAAAAAGTTACCTTTAGTTGAGGTTGGTAAGTCATGCAAAAAGAAAGAGAAAGGGAAAAGAGAAATAACCTCGCCTGGTTAACTAGTTCACTAGTTACTAGCCGGTTCTAAGCCCGGAAAAAGAGGGAAGGTTGGGCATACGGCTACCAACCCTACCACGTAAAACCAATCCAACCGTTAAAGAAACTTCAAAGCACAACCAAAATACAAGAAATAAAAACAAACTTATTCCTCGCTGAAATCGGAGAGACGAAATGACGCCAGTTGATGAAAGCCTCCCTTCTGGAAGCCAATTGGTCGATGTGTCTTCTCTCGATGAAAGCGAAAGTAAACGTGGGGACATGGAATGTCCGCACCATGTTTGAACCTAGCAAGACTGACCAGATTGCAAACGAGATGAGAAGGTATAGCATTGAAGTGCTAGGCCAAAAATCTGCGAAAGTAGATTAAATGAAAATGGACTCTCCAAACTGTCGACTGGAGAGTCAATAATCTACTCCGATATTGTCACCCAGACGAAAACCACGAGCATATTGAGTTTTGGAGTGACTACCATGATGTCCCCGAGAGCTTCGAAGGCTCTCATACAGTGGTAACCAACCTCCTCCTGCAGGATCATGACAACAAGGTTCAACTCAAAAGGAAGGAAAGTCACGACCATTCAGAGCCACGCACCTAAAAATAATGCAGATGAAGAGAAGAAGGAGGAATTCTACAAACAACTGCAATCAACACTAAACAAGACCTCAGTTGGCGATATCGAAATTCTAATAGGTGACATGAATGCCAAATTGCGAGTGGACAACACAGGAAGAGAACTAGCCATGGGTAGAGAAGCACTTGATGAGGTGATGAACGAGAATGGAGAACTGTTTGCGAAATTCTTCGCATTTAACGATTTGGTGATTGGAGGCATTGTGCTCAAGCACAACGATATTCACAAAGTAACATGAACTTCACCAAACACCAGGACACACTAAAAATCAGATCGACTTCATCCTAATCTCAAGAAAGTGGAGACGCAGCCTACTTGACACAAGGTCAAGAAGAAGAGCAGATGTAGGCTCAAACCAATCACTATCTAGTGCAAGGAACCTTCCAAATCAAGTTAAAAGCCTTCAAGGAAGGTGGTGATAGACCACAGTTCAAGTTCAACACCCGGAACAGAAACTGAAGGACGAAACTACAAAGAAAATCTTCACGTCAGACATCAAAATAAAGTGGGAGATATCGAGCAACATCCCTGAAAAAACCGGTGTGGATGAGCACTGGAACTCTTCGAAAGCTATATGGAAAGAAAGCTGCATAACTGTATTAGAAAGAAAGAAGATAAAGAATAGATCTCGACGGACACATGGGAGGTAAAAGAGCACGGAGAGGAGAATGGTAAAGCAGAAGGTAAGCCAGTGCAAGGATGAACGACGAGAAGAGGAACTGAGTACAATGTATAAAACACTGGACAAAGAAGTGAAGAAGAGTGCGAGTGAAGACAAAAAGCCCTTCTACGACACACTTGCAAGTGAAGCAGAACAGGCTGCAGGTAGGAGAGACAGAGACGTAACAAGATTGTATCAAATAAGCAGGTTACTATCTGGGATGGAAGAGATCAACACAGATGAGATGAATAAAAGATGATGAAGGAAATCTAATCACTGAGGCTGAGGAACAAAGGAAACGATGAGTTGACCAATTCGAAAAGCTCCTGAATCGACCACCACCTGCACTTTGTCCAGAAATATCACCTGCAGCCCAGCCACAGACCTACCAGTGAACACAAACCCTCCGACGAAAGTGGAAGTTATGAACGCCATAAAGTAGCTGAAATATGGGAATACAGCAGGAAGAATACTCTTAAAGACTCATTGAAGCAGCGTCCAGTTTTCAACTGGTTACCACAACATTTCAAAAAATCAGTGAACCTCTCTGTATTTCAGACTACATATAATAGTGATTGGGTACCTGAAGGTCTTATCATAGAAATATATTTCAATGCTTTCACGTTTCTAGAAAACATTCATCTTCACAATGAGAAAATACCAAATACATTACATCATTTCCGGTTTCTTTCAATGCATTAATTCGAACACACTTACATACATTCCTTATTCGTTAGCATAACCAAATTCAACTTATAAACGTGGAATCACAAAATAAACATTAAAGTTGTTGGTATTTACTAGTCAATTAGCTGTACAACAAACCATACCTTGATTCGGGATTAGTTTCGATAAATAAGGGTTTATTTCCATCTTCCTGAGTTCCACTTGCTGGAGATTCTTTACAATGCTGATGCTGTAAAACAAATACAAACTAAGATATTAATCAAGACTGTTGAAAACATGTTCTGCATCTATGATAATCTATTTCAATTCACATAAACTACATTACTGTATAGTGCTCATTAAGGAAATGCATCAAAGTGTTTACTTAACCTTGAAGTTCTAATGACAAGCCTAGATCTATGGGGTCAATCTATTAGAAGTGAAGTAGATTCCAACTGAAGATCTTGATGAATAATCACGCTATATTGCGAATAGTTATAAGGAGGAAGTAGGGGACTGTAGACATTTGAACTCTGTTCTAATGACTGAATGTCAAAACGCATTCGCCGTGAGACCTGAATTCGATCCCTGTCAGGATAGAGTCATGGGTGAGTACTGTGAAAGATTTCCACACTGGGACAAAACAGCTGTATAGTAGCGTCAATTTCTTAATGGTTCTTCAACGAGTCTCAATACCTTAATAATAATAATAATAATATAAACGTACTATTCATCATGGACTGGCATTAGTTAGGGAACCATTGAAAATCTGGGAGCACTGGACAGCTGTTTCGTCTTGGTATGGGGCTCCTCAGCAGTACGCATCCACGGCCCGGCTAGGGGTCGAACCCGGGACCTTCAGGTTTCACGGTGAACGCGAACGCTATGTCGTGAATTGACAGAAGTTGGAAATTGTGAACCACTGGAAACCAACCCAGTGGCTGAATGGTTAACGCGTTCATCGTGAAACGTGAAGGTCCCGAGTTCGACCCCTAGCCGGGTCGTGGGTGTGTGTGTACTGCTGAGGAGTCCAACACTAAGACGAAACAGCTGTCCAGTGCTGCCAGATTTTCAATGGTTCCCCCCAACTGATGTCAGTCCATGATAAATACTACTTCTAAATTAAAAATCCCCATTCATCTCAAAAATACAATAATAATAGTAATAAAACTTCGAAATTCATGAAAGATACATTTTTTCAACAACTTCTACTTACATTTAACTGCATAGATTTTGAGTCGTCAACATGGTACATGGGAGGCTGTGAAATAGACAGTGAACATCGGCAGTTGAGTAAGTCGAAAAAGCACTACTTTATTTAATATTCATGTCAAATATTCTACATGAGAAATATCATTAAGATATCTATCACAGACGAGTTGAACAAGTGTAGAGTGATTTACGCTGCGAAACATATTTCAACATAACATGACAACAAACAGATGTTGCGAATATTGATGAAACTCAAGTGTTTTGGTGGTTATAAGTGAATTATACTAAATTTTCTAATCATATGATCTTAATTACCTATAACACTGACTCTGTATATGATTAGCTACGCATTTAATTGCAACATCTTATATTCATAATTTTCTTGAGGTTTAGTCATACGGTTTGTCTTGTTTTCCCCTAACACCCATAGGCAATACGACATAGAGTGATGCTGACTAGTTTTCAGTATATATGATTGTAGTTTTGTGTGTATTTATACATGGTTATCATGTGTTGTGATTCACAAAAAGTGTATGACTTATTTCATACATTATTACTATTATTTATCCTTTGGATTCCTAAAGCAACATAAGGATTCAGTAGCACCGAATCATTTCACTCTCTTCTATCCGGTCTTGTTTTTAACCTAGCTACACCACTGTCCATAAGCTTTCATTTCTTCCTCACATCATCTCCTCCATGTCATTCTCGGACATCCAACTCGTCGTTTCCCACTTTTGTTCCACTCAACGACCTTGCCTGGCACATGATGTTCCCAAACGGTCTTCTCAGTGTATGCCCAATCCATCCCCATCTCTACTTTCTCCTGCATATTTGTTGGGCGATAGGTTCTTGGTTAGTTTGTTGCCATGCCACACTACCTTGTTGCTTATTCTTTCTGGAATTCTGATCTGATCTTGGGTATCGAGTGAGTGTAGGTGGCAGCTGTTCGTGTATGTCTGAAATTTGTTGGGAATGCTTTTCGTAACTCACTAAGTCTCTCAACCATCACATAGAAGCACTGACTCACTTGAATGACTTAGTGTTGAAAATCCGCATCTTCTTCACGCTTTAGGCTGAGTGCAGTGCCGTAGGTCTTTACACTGATTTCAGAATAATGAAGACCTGTCTTGCTGTCTTCCTGATCCTGGCTTTGACATTCTTATCTGTGCCCACGCCTGTGGTTGAGACGATGCTGCCTAGGTAAGTAGGTAGGTAGGTAGGTAGGTAGGTAGGTAGGTAGGTAGGTAGGTGGGTGGGTAGGAAGGTGAAAGAGACAGCTTCGTTTAGATCTCTCCTGTTCATGGTGATTGGTGCTTGTTGTTGGTGTCGTTGGTTAGGTATCTTCATCACCTCTGTCTTCTCTACGTTCACCTGAAGGAAATACTATCTTCTCTGCCTAGCCTCACCTCCTCTGCCAACTTGTTACTCTCTGCCTGTAGATCTTCGAGTCTGTACAAGAGGACGTGAGACATAAATCATCATTGGTGAAATCCAAATCCTGTAGGGTCTTTACATCGGTCCAACAACGTATGCCTGTCTTCTCACAGTTTCTTGCACGATCTAGTTCAGTCCAGTCCACTACAATCATGAAGATGATCGGTGATAGTAGGTAGCCTTGTCTTACTTCTGTCTTCACTTCACTTCAAAGGCGCCACTGAGTTTTCCATTGTGAATCACTTGGCATGTAGCCTCATACAGCATATAGTTGCTGTTGAATGATGTTGATAAAGGTTTGTGGTACTAAAATCGTAGTATTGAAGCAGTGGCCTACTGAATCACTTCTCGTTCAACGCTATCTAAGGTCTTCTCAAAATCGACAAAGTGCGTTTGGCATCAATAAAATCAATTGAATTGGACAATAGAATATTATTATTACAGACATCTTGGATGACATATCTTTTAAGATCAATAGATGGATACTGCATTTCAGTCTCAGTGAGAATAACACTCATTGTGTTGGAGACAAAACGTAATGTGTGTCATGCATTCCACTAGTGATCATCAAAATAAATACAACTCCATATCGGTATACCAGTTGAGACCTCTGAAAAGCCACTGTGATACTTACAGTTGCATGCAAACTGTCAGAAGAAAACACTTGAATTCTAACTTATTGTTCATAGTATAACGTGTAACGTTTAAGTATAAGTACCAACTACTAATTCAGTCATACCCATCTACTTACATTTTACTGATTTACTTTTCATTGAAACCAAAATAACAAGTTTTCAGATTATTCACTAAAATATTTCCTATTGAATTAAGAATAGAATAAGGGAATAGATTTATACAAATTTAGAATTATATACTCTTGTAACATAGTTCCATGCATTTATTGATGGTTAGTTATTAAAAATTCAAGGGTACAAATGATGCTTTACGGACACTATGATATTTTTGTCATGTTGTATAAATATGACTGATAGAAGTTGATTCTCATTGTCAAACACAAGCTTACTATAAACTACTACTACTACTATTCTAAGATTGATTTCACTTCAAAATTCAATGTTTCAATTGTCAAAGATAATACTGACAGTTAAAAACTGAATTTTTCTGGATTACTAGAATAAATGACACAAATATGAATTAAGAAAGCAGTATGATTTTTATCGAAATTCCTGTGAGTGAGATTAATATTGCTTACTTTAGAATACATGGTGAAATAAGATTATTTTACTACCTATAATATGATAAGTTGCGGAGGCGTAATTTAGTTACTAGATGAACGATACAACACAAGACAATTAAGCTTAACTGACACAAAACATATATTGATTAGTCACGGGAATTCAACCAATTTCAGGTTGTCTAGTCCTAAGTGTAGACCAAATTCTATCGATCATATTTGCAATGTGACAACCAAGCTAGGAAGCTCAGTAACACGGTGCACATTAGTAGATGTTAGTTAGTTGGAGGCAATCGGCAGGAAGCCCTGCTCGACCTAGGTTTCATACTTTTTGGCACTCGCCAGCAAGGCGTATTCTGCAACGTCGACGGAACTGATGTCCCACCTGAGATCCTACAGGAGATCAATCACTCAGTGGTAAATTCGCTGACTACAACATTAGATGATGCTGGTTCGAATCTCAGGCGGGACATCAGTTCCATCGAGGTTGCAGATACGCCGTGCTGACGAGTGCCAAAAATCACGAAACCTAGGTCGAGCAGGGCTTCCTGCCGATTGCCTCCAACCAACTGATACACTACAATATTAAGTCGAAGAGAGTTTACTCCAATCGAAAGTATAAATATAACAACTCAGAGACACAACTCTCGAGTTTATGTGCAATGTATGCACCTTTTGGTAGTGAATCGATAGAAAAAGTATATTAGAAATGGGAGATAAAGCAAAAGGAATACATCGTTGTTAAAAGTGGTAAAATTGAATGATACATATGAAGCGGAAAAAGGCGCGAAAAAGCTAATTCAAACTTCCTATAAGATAAATTTATAAAATTTTAACATGAAAGGTTCATTTTTAGGAATATAACATTCACAACACCTACTGTATACAATAATGAAAGAAATTATTAGAATATAGATGATAGAATGACGTTTGAGTAGATTTTCAAATTAATACTGTTGAGGAGTCCCATACTGGTACGAAACAGCTATCCAGTGCTCCTAGATTTTCTATGGTTCCCCAACTAATATCAATCCATGATGAATACTACTTCTAATACTATCTACTTTAAGATAAATAAAAAAAACAGCGGAATTCAATTCTCAACTTACCATAATATCATCTAATTGATTATCATCCTTATTCATAATGAATGGATTATGTAAGGCTATCTCATTACAGTTTATGAATCCATCTAAGTTGATATTGTGTAAAACATTAGGTAGATCACTATGAAGTTTTGATAAGAATTGACGTAAATCAACAGATTTCCATTCTTCATATATTGAATCAAACTGCTCACTGACTAATTGCAATTGAGCTATTCGCCGACGGGATAATTCAAGACGTTTTGACCATTCATCTGATAATTGAATAGGTATTGTATTGCTTAATTTTGTAACCTTTTTCTCAGTCATTAAACTTTTGTTACTTAGATCGCTTGAGATTGATAGATTACATTCTTCAGAAGGGAAAAGTAAATAAAACAGAGAAGAAAAAGTTAATCAATAAAAAAGATTCTCTTTTAATCGTCTTCAATTATTATTCAAAAAAAAAAAATAGAGTATTGTTAGTCGATAGGGTCAAATAGAGACAGAAATTATGTAGTAATACATTACAGATAAGAGTAAAGGGGCTGAACATGCTTCTCTGTGAACTAACAAATTATCACTAGCCCCACCATGAACAGTTTGTGAAATCCTACATCAATTAAAGCTCTAAGTGACCAGAATATTCTAACTGATCAAGAATCCGACTGTTGATTGATTGATACAATCCTTTCTACAGCCAATATAGAGTAATGCTCAAATCTACATATAGAAAGTGCTTGATGTATGCGGCCAATGTAACTCTTTTCATATGAACAAGTGAATTGAATTGGATATAAGCAGTAGCTTGTCCTTAGCAAACTCAGGAATTAGTTGTCGAACAGAAATGGTGATTTGTAGTTTGACAGCAAATAAATGATCTTTTCAGTGATTCGGATAATCGATTCCTTAGGGTTTTGGTGACAGTGAAAATCCCGACGTCAACATTTTATCGGTCTGCTCTGTTTATTGCTTACTTTTCAAGTTTCTTATCAATAAATCTTGACTGATATCAATTCTCTGAAGGCATCTATTGGAGTCTTTTCAATTCATCATCAACTGTATTTGCTTGTTTACATTTTTCTGATCCTCGATGATAAATAATGAATTTACAAGGACAAGACATGTATCAACGAAGAAGAACGATTTCTTTCCAACAACTTCATTATCAAGCTGTACAGTAGTCATATTTATACTCAGTAAAGTGACAGATAATTCCACTAAAAAGAGACTTGCTCAGTCAATATGCAAAATATACAGTAGGTGTAGGTGGTGATATTTGTTCAAGTGGAATAGATAGAAAATGGGTCATTGACAAAGAAAGGAATTGATAACAAGTGGTGAGATAAGAGACAAGTGTTGTCAAAGTATTGTAAAACGGTGATAATTAAGGTGAAACATGTAGAGCAGGTTAATGAATAAGGAAATGAATTGATATTAAACAGTGAAATATGGGTCAAATATTGTCAATGAAGTAGAAAAATGGTGATAATGGTGATAATAGAAGAGAAGTATACCAAAGTGAAGTGAAATTGACAAAATCAACAAGATGAATTGTCAAGGTCAAGGTAGAGAAAGTTGTTTCACAAAACGTTTTTGAATGCAAAGTTTCGGTTTTTGTTCATGTATAGCTAATGCCATTATTCTACCTATGATCAAACCAAAAATTTAGATTCGTTATGTAGACGACACTTTTGTCATGATATAGAAAACACCTACAGTTTGATCAACAACGTTTTCAATGACATCAAATTCACAATGGAGAAAGAGTCAAACAACCAACTACCATTCCTGAATGTTTTAGTCAGTAGAACAAATGCCGGAAAGCTGGAAACCCAAGTGTACAGGAAGCCAACTCACACTGACCAAATCCTCAACTACAATAGCAATAACCCAACGACACACAAAATCAGTTGCGTGCAGATTCTATTCAAAGCAGCGAGAACACACTGCAGTACAACCACTTCACGGGGAAACGAAGAAAATTTCTCGATGTCCATCCTAAAAAAGAACGGCTACCCACGAAACGTTATCAGAAAATGCCTATCCCGTACATCATCAACTACAAAGTCATTGACAGAAATCAACAAACTCACCGTCCTACCATACATAAAGAATGTATCATAAATCACAACTTGGAATTGCTGTGGCTGATAAACCAACAAATTCCCTGCGAACACCATGATGCAGACCAAAGGATGCAACAAGCAAAGAAGACAAACCGAATGTCATTTACAAAATCAAGTGCAATAACCGTAGTCAGCTCTAGATTGGACAAGGCGGCTGACCTTGTCGCCTTCGTCTACACATGAGCACCAATTGGCTATTAAACGTCACGACATTTTGTCACTCATTTCAATGCATGTGAATAATTATGGACATGAATTCAATTTTGACAATGTAGAAATGATAGACGGAGAGAGGAAACGCAAAGAATATTAGAGAATTCATAAATGCTTGGCATTCAGATCAGTCAGCAATCAATAGATGTGTAGACATAGACCCAATCCATCAACCAATAAATGACAGAAAAGTAAGAGGTCAAGCAGAGGAACAGCCAACAGAAAAGTCTATACAGTCAGTCAGTGACACAACAATAGAAGGAAACAAGCAATCACAAACCAGTTCGTCAAGGCAAGCTACTAAATCACTCACAGAGCGATATTGACAACTCACTTCATACCGAAGTTAGTGCTGATGATGTCGCTGTCTAGAAAGGTGATGAAAGCTTCACGATTTAAACAACCCAGTTCAGAGAATACAATACAACCAAGACATTGAATTGTGTTCAATGGGTGGAATTGTTTTATTGACTAAATTATATCCTGTGAGGAAAACTAAACACTATATGGTGATGATAATAATAATAGAGCGGGTGATGACATAGGCATTTATGATTATAATAACAACTGAAGTGCGAATGATAACAAATAGATTATGTAATATATGGAATGGTACATAGAGAGTATGTAACTCAGAAGGGGGTGAAAAAATTGTTGAAAATGGTAAATCAATTAAGTATTATGTAATGGCATTAGACAAATTGGACAAGATGTAGTCAATGTTTTCTAAAAGGATTAAGACAATTTAAGTGGAACAACACCGGAAACTAGTTGAAGTGAAGGCGATTATAATAACAATAATAGTGATAAAGGAAGGATACAAAGGTTAAATTAACAAAGTGGGAGGGGGAGCTAATGGGGTGGGAAAATGTTATGGCCATGATAAAGACAGTGACTGCACATACTTCTTTTGTACACATAGATCAGGTCTTAGTTCATGAATAGCTAAAGCCTCCACTGTTTTAAGGAGTTGAAAAAGAAGAGAACGTGGGAGGTTTGGGCGAATTTGATAAATAATTTCAAAGTCATTGTCTGGATTTGTTGTGTGATGGGAGTCAATCAAATGTTCTAGAATCGAACTTCTAACAGACTTTCTTTCACCTTTATAAAACCAAGCAGGAACATGTTCTTGTATACGTGTACAAAGCATTCTCTGGCTACGGCCGATGTACCTTGCTCCACAAGAGCAGGTGAACTGGTAGATGCACATAGAGGCGGCCAAACAAGGAAGCTTGTCTTTAACGCAGTTGGAGAATAGCTTGCGGCTGGTAAAAGTCAACTGAAGTCTTGCTGCGAAGAAAGTCCTATTGATTGATCTGGTAAGACGATCCTTCAGTGAATCCGATGCTAGGTCTCCTTTAAACTCTAGGCTCATAAACGATCTTTTCTTTGAGACTGAGTGGATGACTGGTTTAGTGTTTCTTTCCCGCATATTTTTATCACTATTATTGTTATTATAATCGCCTTCACTTCAACTAGTTTCCGGTGTTGTTCCACTTAAATTGTCTTAATCTTTTAGAAAACATTGACTACATCTTGTCCAATTTGTCTAATGCCATTACATAATACTTAATTGATTTACCATTTTCAACAATTTTTTCACCCCATCTCGGTTTTATCCTCTCTATGCACCATTCCATATATTACATAATCTATTTGTTATCATTCCCACTTCAATTGTTATTATAATAATAAATGCCTATGTCATCACCATATAGTGTTTAGTTTTCCTCACAGGATATAATTTTTTTCCAAATACCATATATATACGATTGTATAACTTGAAATAAATTCGTTGAAAAGAGTCTCTTCGCTGAATATCTTGTTCTTAATGTTACAATGGGAATTATTAAATTATTGACTAAACACTGCAGTTTCAACACCGATTCCAGATATAAGGAAAATATTACTGCCAATCAAATCAAAGGATGAAAAAGGAGTTGAACTATATTTTTTTTAAAGTGAGACAAGTAGTTGTGTAATTTACCCTAGATTCGATAATCACTCTGGAACTACATAAAAATATTTCCTCATAGTGATTTATATACTCTTCATAGTAAATAGACGCGATTTTAATGTGTTAAGTAAAGTTGGTTAACACAATGTACTTTTTCAACAGTATTTACGCAATCAGTCTGTTGAATACATAGTCATCAGGAATCCTCTGCTTAAGACAATAAAAGTAAGAATAAACACTGATTGATTACTGGAGGGTCAAATTATATTGAATTATATCCATCATTTCAAGTAATATCCTATAGCCAGTTAACATCTATCTTAAAGCATCTCAATAGTGAGTCTCCTTATCTGGTGGCTACATTGCAAAGTGACCAGTTGAATTTGATAAGCAATCAGGACTACACAACATGAGACTGATTGCTTCCTAGTGACCAATCAATGTACCTCCTCTACTCATCCAGAAGGTCAGTCACGACAAGAATAGTTCATTGGTAACATCTCCGACTGAAGTATTGAGTAATGCGGGTTCAAACCTTATACGGAGCATAAGCTCAGTTAAGAGTGCAGATACGCGTTGCTGACAAGTGGACAAAAAAAAACACGAAGACTAGATCAAGTAGAACTTCCTATCGATTGCCTCAATCCAACAAACAAATAATATAAATAATGTATTTCGAGGTTAATGGAGACTTTGTTCTTAAGATAGTATTCATCATAGATTAACATCATTTGGAAAATCATTGAAAAACTGGGTGTACTGGACACCTGCTTCGTTTTAATAAAGGACTCCTTACCAGTATACACCTATGACCTTATCAATGGTCAAAATCAGGACTTTTAGGTTTCATAACAAAATACTTGCAGATCGATATCCCGAAGTTTGAATCATTGGGTTCAACTAATTGGAAGTGAAACAGATGCCAAATGAAGATCTTGGTGGATAGTTGCATTATATAGCAAATTGACAGAAGCAGGAAACTCTGGGCCATTGGACTTTGATCAAGAAGCTGAATGGTAAACATGTTCGCCGTGAAACCCGAAATTAAAATTTGATAAACCAGATGACTTTAAAG